GTGTTTCACATTTTAATTCCGTAAGGGATTGCGCTAACAGCTTTTTTTGCTGTACAGAACTTAAAAAAAGGTTTCGTAGGGCATAGTTCTGCTAGTGGGTACTCCACAGAACCAACAAAAGGTTCTGTCGAATTTTTTATCCTTTTTTTGAGACTTTGGACACATTTGGATGCTTTTAGAAATCTACAGAACCTTTTCGAGGGGTTCGGCAAAGCTCCTTTTTTTTTAGAGAGCACAATAGATAAATAGATCACACATAATTACCCGATAAGTATATCCAAAAGTAACAGGTTTTGATGGATTCTGTTTACTTAAAAATGTTTTTAAATGTTCAACAATCAAATATGTATCATCATCTGCTTTGACAAACCATTCAAAATCATTTAAATAGTTTTCATATGCAAATAAAAAGGCTAAATTTGATTTTCGTGTTAAATGATCATAACCAGGTGTAATGTTTTTAATAGGTGCAATGGGTATTCGTTGTGCAAATTTAACTTGTTCAGGTGTCATTGTTTCTAGAGCATATTCTGTTATAAAAAAATAACGATCACATCGCGGTGCCCAAGTTTCATTTACAGCTTTTACATGTGTAAGAAAATGCGTTGGTGTCGTCGTTATTAAGCAACATAAACGTGGTAGTATTGTCTTATTATGCTTTATTACGAAATTAAAACAGAGACTAATAAAACCGGTATGATACTTTTCCACAAGATAAGTGAAACCAAAGATCCTAGTTAATATGATTACAGCGACCATAGTACCAATCGAAATGAAACGTCGTTTATTAATTGAATGCAATATTTTACAAACGACTTTTGCACTTTAAATGGAAATTATAAAAAAAAAGAGATAAAGTTGATAAAAGCTGTTGACACCCGATTTGTTCTTATTAAATGGTTTATTATTTAAATTCGTTCTAAGTTCTTTTTCTCAATTTGCTTTCTTTTGAACTCATTCGTGATTTATCTAGTAAAAATCAACCCCTAGTCCTCCTCTTCAAAAAAAAGTCAATTTTCTTGAAAAAATCTCAGTGAAGATAAATGCAAAGGAACATTGCCAAACTCTAGTCTTTTAGAAACAATGTGGATTTCTCTTTAATAACTCGTTTCTTTGAAAAATTTTTGCTGATTTTAGTCTCGTCCTACCGAAAAAATGTTCCTTGAAGAAAAAAGAGAATATCTTCGCTTTTTCCAGTTTATGATTTTTCGATAGAGTATTCAGGAATTCTCAAAAGGACTTCATTATAACCAACGATGTTTTTTTCCTTAAAAGGTCATGTCAAAATACAAAGTATATCAGAGGCATTTTTTCCAATTCAGCTTACTTGCTATTGCATGAAAGGGTACTTTTAGTATTAGAGCATATTTTTTGAGTCTTTCGAGACATTGAACTTTGTATTTTTGTTCTTCGCTTAAAGAGTAAGAATAAAAAAGAGCTCTGTCATTTTCTGCACTTAAGAGACTCTTTTGAACAAAAGATCTTTATAATTATACACTTAAAGCATTCCTTCTTGAATACGCACTGATCGAGTATTATAATTCGACTTAAATCAAATGACGGATCACCGAACATTATTAAAATATGACATAATTGGTTAAATTTGCATGAAAAAGTTATTTTCTGTTTTTTAGGATCGGAACATGAGAATATCGAATGATCGATTAAGTTTATCTGAAAACAATTTTTTTGTTGTCTGTAAAATCAATAATAATTTTTTCTATAATGAGTATAACTGTTTTTTTTTCTCCAATGATCTATTTTCAGGGACAGAATGTTTGGCTACATTCGATCTAAAAATAAGTACTGGATTGTTCTGCAATGATTAAATGTTTTCTTTCTCTACATTGAGTTTTAAATTTTATAAAAATTGTTTTTGACAACGAGGATATACTAACATTGCGTGATTAATAAAACTAAAAAGAAACATTTTTTTATATTGGTTTTTTTTATAGATGAGCAAGGTATTGAATTGGTGATTTTTAAAAACGATGGGGTACTCCACCACATATCTGTTTTATGATTGTGATATTGTGGTATAAAATAAATCGTTGTGAGCGCTGAGGATATTGAAAGCTCAGTTTGTTCCATAAACAGTATGTCACCGTTGACTTGAGAATTCATTCATTTGAGTTTGGAGTGTATGAAATAATTAAAACGAAAGCTCTTAGAAAAAAGTTCTATATTAAGAACAAACTTTTATGCAAAATTCAAAATCATTCAAATGGGCAAGAGTTCAGAAAACAAACAGACTCATGATAATCACAACAATTAAAAGACTTTACTGTTAGTCACATAGATACTCAAATGGGATGTAAAACCATGCAATTTTGTAATCTCAAAAAAAGAAGCTGATGCTGCCATGGCATCGATAGCGATAATCATGCTACTACGAATATCTTTCGTAGAAGATAAGCTATTTATATAAAATTATTTCTTTTTTTAGTTTGACAATATTTATGCATTTTCATGCACTGTTTAGTCATATAGATTAAGTGTAAATTTCATTAATACTTACAATCATTTATTATGCCCTCATATCCTAATGATAAGACATATAAATGACGTAAGGCTTCTTTGCTTTTAAGTCTCACTCCCCATGTCCTGAAAATTGTGGTGATTGTGCCGATTTCTCAAAAAAGCGGAGTAAAATCGTGATTAATCGAAATGTGATACAAAATCTTGAGTGTGGGTGTGGATGTGGGTGTGGGTGTGGGTATGGGTGTGGGTGTGGGTGTGGGTGTGGGTGGGATGTGTGGGTGTAGATATGGGTGTGGGATGTGGGCAAGGGGGAAACATCATACTTTTGTACTTTACCTACTTTAATGTATTTTACTGTACTTTAAAGTATTTTGAAGTATTTTGATGTATTTCAAAGTATTTTAAAATATTTGAAAGTACTTGAAAATACTTGAAAATACTTTGAAGTACGTTAAAATACTTTAAAATACTTCAAAATACTTTAAAACACGTTAAAATACTTTAATATATTTTAAAATACTTTAAAATACTTTAAAGTACTTTAAAACTCTTTAAAATACTTGAAAGTACTCTAAAATACTGTAACATACTTTAAAATATCTTAAAATACTTTACAGTATCTTATAGTATTTTAAGGTACTTTAAAGTATTTTAAAGTATTTTAAAGTGCTTTAAAGTATTTTACGGTAATTTAAAGTATTTTAAGGTACTTTAAAGTACTTTAAAATGACTAATTCCATGGGAAACGTACCACTTTATACATGACTCTCTCAGAATTGGCTCAAACTTTCAGCGTTTGTAGAGTTCGATGGGCTGATCATTTTGATCATTAATTGTTAAAGGTTTTATTGTGAATTAGGAAAGAAATGATCAAAATACTGTTTTCAGAAATTCTCGAAAATCATCGTCAAAGTGAGAAGTTCTGTTTTTTGTAAGAAAGTTTTCTCTTTCATTTTAACATCAACATTAAACATTCTTATACATATTCTGATAGCCCGTGATCAGCTCTATCGAACCATATATGAATCAAAACTCTTTCCCTGTTTTAAGGAATATTTTAATAAGACCACAACAAATTCACTGCTACACAAACTTTATCTCCTAATAAAAATTCCCTTCCGAATTTGGGTGAATTGTGGTATAGTAGGTTTTGTACAGCGTCGCTTGTTCTATCTTCTGGTATATACAACTTCACAGCCGGTTCCAGTTTTCGTGCGTTATAGGGTCAAAATGTATATCTACTACTGGTTTCTGAACGTTACAGTTCATATTTTCGAAATTTTCAAAAGAAAAACTCAATAAACTCATCTGAAACTTTAAATTCAGAGAGAATTCATTAATTAGAATAAAAATCATAAAAAGCTTTATTGACTATTATCTTCTCTTTTATATCATGCTACAATAGTAAAATGTCATAAGTCAGATTTCAACTCTTGATTTTTCAAAATTTATCATTTTCCATAGAAATTACACTAATACTGTATTGAGATAACATAGGTATCTGAAGGAACTACTTACCACTTTCGAAGAATTCCATTCATCTTCATTTCAACAATATAACTCGAATGTTTTCGAACAGTAATATATGAAAAAAAAATTAATGTTACATTATAATATTAGTTCTCTGAATAATATCAATATTGATATGAGATAAATACAGTTATGTTAGGAATGTGCAGTTTCAGTATACTGATCACCGACAAAGTCACACTGACGTGGGTGTGGGTGTGGGTGTGGGTGTGGGTGCGGGTGTGGGTGTGGGTTTGG